ATGTAAAGGCAGAGAAATGCAAATTCCATGTCTCTGTTGTGAAGTTTATAGGTTTCGTTCTGGAGAGTGGGCAGTTAAAGGCAAACCCAGACAAAGTACAGGCTGTTGCAGACTGGCCACACCCACAAACCGGAAGCAGTTGCAACGTTGCCTGGGATTTGCCAACTTTTATTGGCGGTTTGTCCGTAACTATAGCCAGAATGCTGCTCCTCTAACCCGTCTCACGTCCCTTGCTAAACCTTTCTCTTGGTCTCCAGAAGCTGAGGCTGTGTTCCGAGCCCTCAAGAGGAAGTCCACGGAGGCTCCATTTCTCTATAGGTGCTATATCAAATACAGGCCATTTCTCACCAGACCAGATCCAAAGCAGCAGTTCACCCTGGAGGTGGACGCTTCCGACACTGGGGTTGGAGCCATCCTGTCACTGGTATCGCCCTTGGACCATAAACTCTATCCCTGCACCTTCTTTTCATGACGGTTGACACCAACGGAGAGCAGGTACGATGTGGGGGATTGAGAGTTATTGGCATTGAAGCTGGCCTTCGAAGAATGGAGGCTCTGGCTGGAGGGGGCGGAACACCACTTTGTTTTCTGGACCAACCATAAGAACTTGATTTACCTCAAGGAAGCTAAGCGGCTAAACCCATGCAAATACCGCTGATCACTGTTTTTTTCTCGGTTTAACTTTGTTATCTCTTATCGGCCAGGGTCCAAGTATACTAAGCCTGACGTGCTTTCCCGCCAACACTCGCCTGAGGACGAACCCGGCCCTGCTACCATCCTGCCCCCATCCTGCGTAGTGGCAGGACTTACCTGGGAGATCAGACACCACGTTCTGGAAGCCCTCAAGGTCCACCCTGGTCCAGGTAATGGCCACCCAAACAGACTTTTCGTTCCACAGGCCCTACGAGGGAAGGTCATCCACTGGGCTCATTCTGGTAGGTTCGCCATTCACCCCCGTTTGGGACGGACTCTTGCGCTACTAAAGCACTCCTTCTCGTGGCCTTCAGCCTACCGGGATGTAAAGGACTATGTCTCGGCATGCTGCATGTGTGCCCAAATGAAAGGTAACAACCAATCACCTGCTGGATTACTGTGTCCCCTTCCCGTTCCATTTCGCCCTTGGTCGCACATCACCTTGGACTTTGTTTGTGGGTTGCCTGTTTCTCATGGATTCAACACAATACTAACAATAGTGGACAGGTTCTCCAAGGCTTGCCACCTCGTTCCCACAAAGGCTCTCCCATCTTCTGCCATCACTGCCCAGCTCCTGATCGTCTTCATGGGATTCCCAAGGAGATCCTCTTGGACCACGGCCCCCAGTTCGTTTCCAGGGTCTGGAAAGAATTTGCCACTGCTCTGGGAGCCTGTGTGTTGTTGACCTCAGGTTTCCACCCGCAGACCAATGGACAATGCGAGCGCATGAATCAGGAGCTGGGAGCCATGCTGCACTGTGTGTGCACCACCAATCCCACCTCCTGGAGCGACCACCTGGCCTGGGTGGAATATGCCTACAACAGCCTCATGTCCTCGGCTACAGGTCAGCCCCCCTTCGACGTTCCCCTTGGTTACCAACCCTCTCTGTTTACTCTCCATTCTGACTCAACCACTACCACACCACAGTTTCTTCGCCGGGCCCGTCGTGCCTGGACCGCCACTGGGGCCGCTCTTCAGCGCACTGCTGAAAAGAACCAGCGGTTGGCGGACTGGCATTGTCGCCCGGCACCAGTCTACACTCTTGGACAGAAGGTCCGGCTGTCATCCAAGGATGTGTCCCTCAAGGCCACATCCAGGAAATTTGCCCCTAGGTTCCTTGGCCCTTTTAAGTTTGCGGCAGTCCCCAGTCCTGTGGCCGTTCGCCTGGACCTCCCACGGTCCCTCAAGATTCATCCCACGTTTCATGTGTCCTTGGTCAAGCCTGTGGTCACCAGCTCCCTCTGTCTGACCCCGGACCCCCCTCCGCCTGCCCAGCTCTACAAGGAGGGTTTGGTCTACCAGGTTTGGCAGATCCTCGACTCCAGTCCCCGGGGACAGGGGGTGCAGTACTTGGTGGACTGGGAGGGGTATGGCCCGGAGGAACGTTCATGGATCCCCCGGTCATTCATCGAAGATCCCTCTCTCCCGCTACTGGGGTGCCGGGTGACACCCGTTGATGGAAGGTGGGGGTGGGGTGGGGGTGGGGTGGGGGTGGCGGGGGTGGCCATGAAGGGGTCATGATCCATGAGCTGAGGTGAGTGCTCCTCCTCACTAAGCCATGTTTGAGGTTCTCTTTCCACAGGTGAGGAGCGGAGGGGACACCAGCTGTGCTGCATTCGTAATCAGAGGCTCTGGTATAAAAGGAGGATGAAGAACCCACTCGACGCCGGATGATTGCTACAGTTTTGTTTAGCTCCAGCCTCTCTTATTCGCTTGTTCACTTGTTTGACCTCTCATATTTGGATTATTGGATTTTTGACCTTGGACTGTTTTCTTGGACTATGACTTTGGATTTGCCTCTGAACCCATCTGCTTGGACTGTTTAGGAATACCATCATCTCCTTCACCTACTCCGCTGAGATCCCCAGATCTTCAGGACCACGTCCCATCCTCCTCCATGGCTCCTGCTCCTCTCCTCTCCGCTTTCTCACCATCCCCGCTCTGCTGGACCCCCACCCACGCTCACCTTGGCTCATCACCTGCCCCGCTGCTCGCTGAGCTCAAACTCTGGACTAATGCCTTTCGGCACCCTTCTCACTGGACTTCCAGTGCACCTTTAGTTCCCGTTCTCCAAATAAAGTACTTTATTTTTACTTACCTCTTGAGTCCCGTGTTGATTCTGCATGTCTTGGGATAGACACCTCCCGCAAGTCATGACAGACAGATTGATACACTGTCCCCATTTCTGTGGGAGCAGGCGCTAACATCTGTTTGAGCTAAGCTACATTAGCCATTACAAGTTGTTGTGAACATAGGTATGAATAGAGAACAGTGTTTGTGATCTGTAAGATGAATGAATTATTTAGTTGCATCGCCAGACTTGCATTTGAATTTGTTCAGATTACATCAAGGGCAAAAAGGCTGCTTAGCATTGTGGTTTTGCTTGGTTAGCTTACAGCCTCTTTAAAATCCACCTAATAAAAGTGGTTTTAAATAATTTAGAAACGTCATTGCACATCTCTGTTGCCATGCCTGTCAAAATGTAGTTGGTGTGGTTTTGAATGCATCATAAACTATGATGGACAAAAAATTAACTGAACAAGTTGGACCACAACTCCCAGCATGCACCAGATAAGGAAACACTTCTCAGGCCAGTTTGTGTGTGTATTATAACATTGGGGCAGTTTACATATTTTTGTGTACACTCATAAACTGGCCTGAGAGCCACTTCCTTGTCTAAGGACAGTGTGTAAATCTGTTAGACCTATAAAACATCTGAAATTGTCCTGAACAGAACTCAGAAGACCCATAATGACGGCAAACACAGTAATTATATATATATATATATATATATATATATATATATATATATATATATATATATATATATATATATATATAAAGTATTTTATTTATTGTGGAGTTACCAGGTGGGCGAGGCTGGAGACAGAGTAGGAGAGGAGGCGAGGGTCAAGATAGATCCATGAATGCTACAATGAGCAGGCAGGAGGCAGATTCCAGAGAATGGGCTGAGGTCGAGAATCCAGGTAGTCAGAGGCAGAGAAAACAATCCAGGCAGGGAGCAGGCACTTGGGTTGGTCAAGGAACAGAAACAAGGTCAGGATCTATGGTACAGGCAGAGGTTGGAGTGCCAGAGAATTTACTGGCGCGAAGTCTTCAATAATCTGGCAGAGACTGGATAGCAGGATGTTTCTTTTATAGCAGGGGAAGCAGGTGAGTGAGATGAGCAGAGGAGTCAGGAGCAGGTGAAGTGGCTGAAGCTGATGACAGGAACAGGTGAGAAGATTGGAGTTGATTGTGGTTGCCAGGGAAACAGGGCTTGTCATGAGCTTGGTGAAGGGACCAGGTGAGCTGAATGAAGGTGAAATGAGGAGGCAGAGGAGGGTGAAGGATGGGAGTCATGACAGAAATGGTCTAAATAATAGCTGTCTCATTATAACCTGACTGCAAAGCATGCTGGATTAACTTTTACTTACTTCAGAGGAAAGATCACCAGGACGCTGCACCATCTTCATGTGTCTTCTCCCAGTTTGAAGCCTGCTTTTTCCAGTCAGAGAATTACTCTGCCATTTATTAGTCATTTCTTTTAAACCTTTGACTACATTTTCATGACTCATAAATACATTTATGTCTAATTAAACAATATTAGATGATTAAAAATCAAATGTTGGTCTACTATTTATAACTACAGGATTTTTCCACAGAAAAACATATTTGTCCTGTCAACACAAATTTTGACTAATTCCAGGGGAAATTCAAATTTCCCACTTTCCACCCAGCATTCAAATGCACCATGTATGCACAAATCAGTCAGGTGAGAAAAGAGTCTCAAAAGGATTATTTTTACTTGTAAACTGATCTGTTTGTAATGTAGTTTTGTTCGTGTTTACCAGGTGAGGTGTGTGTGTGTGTGTGTGTGTGTGTGTGTGTGTGTGTGTGTGTGTGTGTGTGTGTGTGTGTGTGTGTTCAATGATTTGTAGGAGTTGCAGTTACATGTAAACACAAGTTACAAATCAAGTTACACACTCACAAATTGTTAGTTACGCACACACAAATCTAGATACACACACAAATCTTTAGCTACACATGCACATATTTAGATACGCACAAATCTAGAAACACACACACAGATCTTTTGAGACTTTTTTCTCCCCATATTAGCATAATACTCTCTCAAACATGAATGGGAGTCAATGGATGGTCCTTACTATGATAGAAAGAGAGACGCGCGTTTAATTAAACGTCAGAAATTAACAAGCGTATTATGTTCGGGATATTTCGTCTTTTTCCGTCACTACATCGATCTGCCTCAATGTTATGCACGCGCACGTGTGGTGTGAGTGCGCGCGCAATTTAGGAGAGCGAGTGGATCGACTTTGAAAGCGTGACCGACATGGACGGGTAACATTTCTGTGTTTGAGTGGTGATTTTTACAGATATTTACAGTCTATGGTGGTGATGCAGCGGTGTGTGAGACAGGCGGTGTGTGAGACAGAGATGTGTGGATTTATCAGGGGCGCGAGCTCGTTTCCATGGCCACGCGCTACTGTGTTTAGGAAGTACCTCATGTTAGCATGCTACTGTTGTTTAGCTGGTGTCCGTTACTCACGAGCCCTTTGAGCTTGAACAGACTCGAGAAGTGGTTCTTTCCGCAGCCCGCGGTCACTGTTGGTACCGAAACAGCAGCGTTAGCTGACAGGTTGTCCCAGTCCGGAGGTTATCCTGGCTGAACGAGTCACGCACGTCTGTAGGGGTTCGTTACTAAACAGTAATAACACTTTAGGTGAGGACGGGACAGTTTGTGTGGACAGGCGCGCGTCTGGCATCAGTGACTAACTCATCTGAACAAGTTGGTTTGATGTGTAACAAACTGAATCAGAAATAATCAACAGGTGTTGTTCAGTTGTAGAGCTTTAGCTTTGATCTGTGTGGAATTGTCTCTTTCAGCATCAGTGATGTTGCAGTTGGAGTGAAGGTGAGACACACACACACACACACACACACACACACACACACACACACACACACACACACACACACACACACACACACACACACAGCAAGCATGATCAATGTTTCGTTCATCCTTTACACTGTGATGATGGTGATGATGATGATGATGAAACAGGAAAAACAGCTTTAAAAAGCTGTTTCCAAGTCTCACATGTATTTTTCTGAAAAATGGCTGCAAAATAAGACTAAATATTTGCAATCAAACATCATTTTTATTAGGGATTTGAATCTTAAAGCAACTCACGATTTGATTTGATTCCGATTCTTGGGGTGCCGATTCGATTCAGAATCAATTCTCGATTCTCAATTTAAATCGATTCACAATCAGTATTAACAAAGAGTGTCACCTCATGGATGAACTACTTTGTTGTACAAGTTAGTTAAAGCTATGGGACGTTTTTATTTGACTTTAAACTGGTCATGCTCCAAAAATGCAAATTTACAATGTAAAATAAAGTGACTGTAAAACTGTAAACAGAAACAATCTTTTGACCAAAAGGCAACATTTATTTTTGCTTACCTTGTAAAACGTAACAAATCTGTAGTTACCTAACAGTAGCTTTGAAAGTAATACAGTCAAATACTTTTGAAGTATGTGTAGAAACAAGTTACATGAGTAATCCTGAGTACTTATTTAGCAACTTAGAAAATAAATGAGAATATGTCAAATTTCTGAGTATGGAAAAAATTACATTCAAGTGCCCTCTTATCAGCAGATTCTAACGTCAATCATCTCAATTTATGGGACCACAAAAGTAAACGGAAGACTGACTCTCCTAACAAAGATCAAAAAAGTGCATCTCAAACCTGTAACGTGCCAAATATTTGAGTTCTTGGAATCGATTCTGAACCTTTGTGAGTCGATTCTGAATCTTTATAAATAAGAATCCCGATTCAGACTTAGCAAATACAGGCCATTTACCATTAACTAATTATTGTTGCCAACTGAGCGCGTTGTCCTTGGAATATTGGTGTGTGTGTGTGTGTGTGTGTGTGTGTGTTTCCATGGTCTCTGGTCTCGTCTTCCTCCGCTTATCCGGGTCCGGGTCGCGGGGGCAGCATCCCAACTAGGGAGCTCCAGGCCGTCCTCTCCCCGGCCTTGTCCACCAGCTCCTCCGGCAGGACCCCAAGGCGTTCCCGGACCAGATTGGAGATGTAACCTCTCCAACGTGTCCTGGGTCGACCCGGGGGCCTTTCACCGGCAGGACATGCCCGAAACACCTCCCCGGGGAGGCGTCCAGGAGGCATCCTGACCAGATGCCCAAACCACCTCAACTGGCTCCTTTCGATCCGGAGGAGCAGCGGTTCTACTCCGAGTCCCTCTCGAATGTCCGAGCTCCTCACCCTATCTCTAAGGCTGAGCCCGGCCACCCTACGGAGGAAACTCATTTCGGCCGCTTGTATCCGCGATCTCGTTCTTTCGGTCATTACCCAAAGCTCATGACCATAGGTGAGGATTGGGACGTAGATCGACCGGTAAATCGAGAGCCTGGCTTTCTGGCTCAGCTCCCTCTTCCCCACGACAGATCGGCTCAGCGTCCGCATCACTGCAGACGCCGAAACCAATCCGCCTGTCGATCTCCCGATCCCTCCTACCCTCACTCGTGAACAAGACCCCGAGATACTTAAACTCCTCCACTTGAGGTAGGACCTCTCCCCCGACCCGGAGGTGGCAAGCCACCCTTTTCCGGTCGAGAACCATGGTCTCAGATTTGGAGGTGCTGATCCTCATCCCTCTCTGGTCTTGGAACCAATTTTTATTTTTATCTTATGCTCTGAACACTAAGGAATTCATACCAAATTCATTCCATTCCTTCTTCAAAAGGGTTTTCATGTATTTTGATGGATTTGAAGATAAGAAAAACAGAAAATCCTAGACCCTTGGTTTAATGTGTATTTTTTACACTCATAACATCCATGGAGGTTATACGATTTAAAGACTAAATCTAATTTTATTTTAGACTATTTTTGACCTCACATTTGCATCTTAACACAAAAAAACCCAAATCGCTCTTTCACAGCATTAATGGTGTAATAAAAGTGTGGTTGTGAGCTTTGGCTGCAGAAGCATATGGCTGCTCGGGCTCCTGCTGCCTAACCTGATTTGTTGAGTGCCAGCTGCAGTACAATCTACACTAAACAAAGTTAAAAGTCCTCTCTTGAAGGGAAATAGAACGGTCATAAAAATCCCATTCCTCTGTTTATTTTTACAATATCTCAAAGTCGAAGACAAAACTGAGGGTTGCCAGCTGTTGGAAGGGAAATCATCTCTTAGGTTCTTGCATCTTGTTCAGTGTGTTCCTACATCTTGGCCCAAGTCAGACAACTTTATTACCCCTTCAATTTATTTGTGTCATGTTGCTGTGGCGGTGCCTGCAACGTCTGCTTTATTGTAACCATAAAGAATGTTGGTGACAGAAGAACAATTGGCTCAAATTCAGTCAGACAGAAACAAGGAGGGGGCACAAGCAGCTATTATAAAGTTGGGTGTGTAATGGGTCTCTTGCCACTCTCCTCGTCATCCCATCAGTCAGGTTTAAGAGCACAGGGTGCCCGGCATCCCCAGCAAGCCTTCTGGGACCCAGTATAGCTCAGGTACAAATGACACATCTTGACATCTTAAATTCAGTAAGATTGAACTCACAGGAGTGAGTGAGGACCCAAATCACTCTGGAGCTCTTCATGCCCCTTCTCACCTACTTCTTTGCCCCCTATTGCTCCCTTAAACTGTCCTCAGAGAGGCTGGTTTTATCGTTGTATCCCAGGTCTTGAAACTCGCATAGATCTCCTGATTTGCTGCAGCCCAAATAGAAGCACAAAATCTAACTACCACGGTTTTCTGTGTTTTTGTTTTTCCCACAGAGAGGATCTGACCAGCTGAGTACGTACAAAAATACTATTTCTGGCACAGATTGTATGAATGGTGAGTTTTATCCAACCACGCTGGATCAGAGGGGGGCTTTACAGATTCTGCATGAAATATTTTGTGGTTGTGACGTCGATGATGTATAAATGTTTAAAAAGTGTAATAAGCTGCCATGACCTCTACAAAGAGGGTGGCGGTTCAGGAATTGTGCTCATTTGAAACGGTTTTTGCATCGACATTATCATTTATCAACTTTGGACAATTTAGGCTTTTCTTTAGCTCTTTTTATAACACACACCATGCTGGCAAATGGCGTAATATTACCGCAATGGTATCTCTATAAACGCGCCATGCCGGCATGGCGTTGTGTGAATTTTGCGGCATTTGTTCCGCCTCGCTTGGTAGTAATATTGCGGTAATGGTCTGTCGTATGCGCCCTGGCGCAACAGAGGCAGATGTCATGATGATGTGGGGAGTTGTTGCTGAGCTTCGGCTGGCAAATTTATTGAAAATGAAAGTAAACACAGGCAATACGGTTTGCTTTTTGAACAAAATCAGCTGAGATGGCAAACTGGAGCGCCACAGCGCTCCACGAGCCTCTCTGTTAGAGCTGAAGCTCAGATCACCAGAGACTGCTCAGGGACTGATGGGGACAGACACCTTTAGGAGCTGCTTGTTAAAAAAAAACTCAACGATTACGGCTTCAATCGCAATAAAAAGCAAGTTATGTCCAAGATAAACGGAAGTCTGCGGCGGCGCAGAGACCGCCCCATACCCCCTTTATGCCGCCGTCACCTGATCTTTTATAAAATTGCCACGATTGCGCCACATTACCGCCACGGTCTGATTGTATAAACAACCTTTATCCTCCCCAGGGAGCCACGTCCTGTAAAAACTTTTGAGACATGAATAAGAAAGGGTAACTGGTGAATCCTGGGAAATGTGAAATTGGTAGAAAGAGCTGAATGAGGAGAAGGTTGTAATGAAGAATCAACTGAAGGTCAAACAAAAGCCATCTTGAACAGGTGAGTTTTTAAAGGAGACCACTGAGTCTACTGATCTCAGGCTAACCCTTCCTTTCCACCAGCCGTGAACGCAGTCGCGTTACGTAATAGCTTAATTTTACCCACAAGCTCATTCCCGACCGGGAGCAATTCTAACACTAAACAGGAGCAAAAGCATTCCATAGCTGTTTCAGTGAGGTCACAAAATCAAGGGCGAATTGCAACACCACGTGTTATTTCAGAAGTCCACACACGATAAGCAAGAAGAGTGACAGCCGCATGTATCAAAAAGGCATGTGGTTTACTTTCTGTTCTGTTTGCAACGACAAAGCGAGTTTTAACAGGAAACGATGTACGTGTACCTGCATGTGACGTTCATCTAGAAGGTTTTTGGATGATTTACACTTCTTATTGCTTTGACCTTCTGTCTGGCGTCATCTAAACTATGGAGCATGTAAAAAATATACTCAAAGTATACTGATAGCATTCCCTCGCTTTTGGGGCTTGTTCAAAACTTTACACTTTGCTGCTGGTGGAAAGGAACTCCCCCTCTATAATGGCAGCTATTGGCCACGTAGTGTGTTTCGTGATGCTTTCACTTGGAAAGAAGGGGTCAGGGGGAGAGAGGTCCAGAATCTGGGGCCACAGCAGCAAATGGTCTGTCACATTTGGTCTTTTGCCTTGTGCTGCACAACCAGCAGGCTTTGGTCACTGGACCTCAGGAACCTGCTGAGGGTGTAGGGACTAAGAAGATCACCAATGTAAGATGGTGCTTGTCTATGTAAGGGGTTAGTAAGATGGTTTGGTCTTTGAAGAACTCTTGAATGTTTTCTTTTCTGGAGCATCTTGAGCTGGTTATGCTTGTAAGGTGGAGAAGCTGACCCTAATTTCGGGTTTGTTCATCAGAACTCTGACAATGAACTGTGATGAGCTACGTTTGCAACAGCAATCCACAGTCAGGTCATACCAAAGACCTTAAAGATGGGACCCAATGCCTCACTGCTTTAAGGGGTTTATTGAGGGGGTTAAACCGAATAGTTCCCGAGTGCGGCTACTGCTGCAGCTCACCGCTCCCCACGGCAATAGGGCAACTGCGGAGATGTAATTCCACCAGTGTGTGATGGTGATTAATAGGACAATGGATATAACTAAATTTATACAAGGCTCATAGCAGCCAGTATGGGGATGGGTGGGTGGGTGTGGCCAGAAACGGTTTGTTTTATTAAAGTGACAGAGTTCTTCTTTAAAATGTGACTCACATGACTGAATTTCAGTGGGAATGCTCTGGAGCTTAAATTCGATATTATTGAAGACTGAATATTGAAAGTTGCACAAACACAAATTGGTACCACATTTCCTGATCATGGTGGTCCACTATGACTTGGCTTTGTTCTTATTTTAGATGGAGCCTCCAATGGTAGTGACAGTAAGAAGTTAAAGGTTGATGCGGCTCCACCATCGCGTGTGCTACACATACGGAAGGTGCCCAGCGAAGTGTCTGATGCTGAACTTATTGCTCTTGGCTTACCGTTTGGTAAAGTCACCAACATCCTTACATTGAAGGGCAAAAACCAGGTGAGTGGATGAAACAAGGCGACCATCCTTAAAACACGAGGTGGGTTCCTGAAACTTTGGGGATTTCTAAAACTCCATTAGTGTGATAAATTCACAGTTTAGGAAATTCTCCCCAGGACCATCTGACCCTGAATAATGTTGCCTTTTCTTTATTGGTCACATTTGTTGACCAATAAGCTGTGATACTATATCTAAATATAGAATTTCAACTCTGCTTGGTCTTTACTGTATTTAATCAGAAGATTCTAGGATTCTTTCTTTATTAAGGGATTGTACACACTTCGTTTTGATTCAGAAAAGAGTCAGGTTTATAAAAGTACGAATTTATTTTACCAGCAATTAAAACATGACAAGTTAACTAAGCATTTACTGTGATGGATGGAACTAGATGTGATGTATGAAACCTATGTGTGAATGCAATGTTAGTCAGAACTTCCGTATCCAGGAGAGCTGAGTTCTGGATGTAAAAGAATTTGGTTTGCATTAAGCTATGAAGGTGGTTATCTAATACATCAGACGCAATCTGTCACGTCTACTTCACCCGTTCTCGGAGACCCTCTTGGTAGATCCGAAGGTCAGAGAGGTCGGCTGACCTCTGGCATCGAAGAGCTGTAGAATACCGTGGCACTGACGCTTCAGTCCAGAGATGTCTCGGGTCACGGCAGATGGATGGAACTGCACGTCTGGGACTCTGAAGGAGTCTAAACAATATCAGCTTGTTCTGCAGGAACTGTTGCGGTATCAGCTTCGCAGGTGCAAAAAGGTTTTGACGGCGTGTCAAAAGCTTTGATGGGTTAAAGAGGGTTTTGCTTCAGGTGGCCGGTCTGAAGCTTTCTCTAGAACTGCTGAATCACCCAGAGTGATCCAGTTTTAAGGATCTCATGTTAGGATTTGTGTAGCCAACCAAAGGTTGACAAGTTTGAGGAATATTACCAAGAAACTCAGAAACATGCCTTCTTTGATACAGAGGCTCTGACTGGGGTAAAAGACTATTTATGCGTCAGAGTTTAACTCAACCTTACTTTGTCCTTGTGTGAGTGCAAATGGTTTTGACATTGTCATTTAAACATGATGAAACATATTTCAATCACTGTAATCATAACATAACCATCATTTCACACTTCAGTCATTGAGCACAGATTAATGAAACATTTCATTATATAATAATTATTATAAGTAGCAATAAACACATGTTTATTTAATGATTATCTAGCTTATAAGTTGTAGAAGTTCATATTGATTTAGGAAATCATTCTTTGACTTAGCAACTGATCCGAGCTGGAGTGTTCTTTATATGGAGGCATGAAGACCTGAAAGATTCGACCTTGAGGAGAGAACATTATTGTTGACATTTCGTTATTTGTGTTTAAAGCTGCAGAGACTCTGAGCTCCAGCTGATGGGATGAAGGCAGGCCAATTTAAAGGGAACTCATGCAGTCGTGTGTCTCCTTTTTGACCAGATGTTCGATAGTCAAACTGTACCTAAAAACTGACCATTGCTGGACGTTACAATTTCACTTCTCAGAAATGACTTGAATGTAGACATCTTACTGCTCCATTGGAATGCTTGGGAACAATTAGCCTTGTTATCCAGAAGTGCATTTAAACCCTCTACACTAACATGACACTGCTACTCACTGCTGAGCGTGGAGGGAGTGTAGATTCCTGTCAGATACACCTGCTTTGGTCTTGTCACAGTGATTGATTGTCAACTGCCTTTTGTTACTGTGTGCTGGTCTAAAAGTATCTGGTGAACTATGGATGTGTCAGATGTGACGGATGAAGTCTCTGCTGTACACGCTAGTCTTGTTTTTCACTTCAGCAAAATGTCTTTGTTTACGTTCCCTCTGCTGGTTAGGCTTCAGTGAACTTGACCATCATTAAACAGCCCATGTCCATGTCCTGGAAACTCTTACATGTGGCCGGTGCAGGATCTTCAGATGATCAGGCCAGCAGACTGTAAAATCGCTCTCATCCACACAAAAAAATCCTGTCATGCATGGATTTTGTTTAAATGTGCTTTTGTTGTTTTATCTCATATACCCCGTGAATGTTACTGTTCACATCCGATTAATAGCACACATGCGCACAACGCTGGGGGGCAAAGACCCTGTCTCCAGCCATTGTCCAGAGCGGTATCCCGCAATTTAAGCTGACAAAATAACACCTAGGGATTAAGATAATACAACTTTAAATCATTGGACACATTTTTGTGCAAATGCTCCAAATAGATCCACTTTAAAGTTAACAGTGTTTAGCACAAACCTTCCAGATCTGTTTGAAATAGCTAACGAGCCGTGGGGGTGGCAGTCCTCAGAACCGGCCGACTGGACTTCACACAGCAACGAAGGTGTAGCCAGATGTCCTGCTTTTGCAGGTTAATGCTGAAGGATCACAGTGACACAATTAGTCTGTGGAGATGAACAGATTCTGTTTATTTTGATGAGCACTGTAGACATAAAACCAGTGACATCAGAGGCTGCCTGCAATGGGCAGAGCCCAGGAGGGACAAACAGTTTATTGTTCAATAAATAACTTGTTAATAAATAACCTGACATACCCGACAAAGTGTAATTACATAAAAATAAACTAACCTGGTTACAAAGGCATACAAGTCGTTAGACGGCTAGAACTTGTTCCTTTCTGGGCACGTGGGGCAGATACTTTACTTTGGTAGCCATGATGTGGATCTCTTCATGGCTGGTAACCATGGCCTTTAGCTGGAAACCTGTAAAATGGTCCCCCCCAGCTGTTATGCACACACACACACACACACACACACACACACACACACACACACACACACACACACACACACACACACACACACACACACACACACACACACACACACACACGCACCTACCTGCTGGTCACTCATTGCTTCTCACTGTAAAATGAATCCTGCCCCTAACTCCCTGGGTTTTTTTACCCTAATGGCCCTACGTAGATAAGGTCTTAAGCCTGGTTTATGCTTCTCCGTCAGCTCCGCAAGGGACAGACATGCACGGATTGACGGAAGCGTTTTGCTCTCATACTTCTCCGTCTCCTGGAGAGTGTTGCAAAGCAATTGCCCGGCCGGACAACAGAGGGCGTAGCGCTGTTCTGTGGTATCCTGTCATGTATCGGTCCAAGATCGTGTGTTTATATTGTGTTTTTTGTGTACATAAGAGACTTTTAACACGGACATATTTGTCTCTCATTCTCCCACCTCTTCATGCGCTCCCCACCTCTAAACCCACGTTTCCCATCATTTCCGTCCACAAATAAAATGCTTGCTGCGCATCTTTTCACTCCTCCAGTCACGGGAGAATTAAACGTTCATATTTTTAGAGTTTTTTTGCGAGGTATTCTTCAAGCTGCTCCGTGTCTGCCGCTAGTTATCCTCGGCTCTCTTTGCAATGGCGGCGCTGTAAACAACAGCGGCGTCCTGACCAATCACAAGCTTGCGTAATCCGTCTCGTTCGACGGATGTTTAAAAAAGTGGGCTCGACTCCGTACGTACTTGCGTGCCCTACGCAAGGACGGATAATGGCGTTGCGTGTCTCCGCACTGACGCAGACGGAGAAGCATAAATCAGGCTTTACTCGAACACAAAGATACTGTTTCCTTGCAGTGATTTAGGTTTGTACTGCCCCCTATCGTCAGGGAAAATACACATCGTCCCTTTAAAGTGACAAAGCCCTCCAGTGGTTCATTCTGGAAGGTACTGAAAATTTGGAGAGGAAAAGGTTGCTTTGAGTGAGACGGATTTAGTGCATAGAACTTCACGGACGTTTCTATCGGCCATAGAACTATTCTGATTGTTTAACGGGAGGTATAATATGTAGCGTGAGCTGCCTCCTCTGGTAAGTCACTTTTCCTCCTGCTTTGTTTGTCTCTGCCCTCAGGCCTTTCTGGAGATGGGGACAGAGGAGGCAGCCATCACCATGGTCAACTACTACAACAGCGTTCCTCCTTCTGTCCGTAACATGCCCATCTTTATCCAGTACTCTAATCACAAAGAACTGAAAACTGATAGTAGCAACCAGGTTAGTCGAACCAAACACGCTTGAGACAACCCAACACATCTGTAACCATGGCAACGGTTTGCATCAGCTCTAGTCTTCAGTCATTAGTACATTTGTATTTTCATGTGTCACACAGACAGACCGTTAGTTCATTAATGATTTGAGTCATTCAGTCCATTAAGGTCAGACTTTTTCATACAGGAGCAGCTGGCATGTGTGTGTGTGTGTGTGTGTGTGTGTGTGTGTGTGTGTGTGTGTGTGTGTGTGTGTGTGTGTGTGTGTGTGTGTGTGTGTGTGTGTGTGTGTGTGTGTGTGTGTGTGCATGCGTGCGTGTGTGTGTGTGTGTGTGAGTGTGTGAATCCAGCTACTAACTGTAATGTTCGTAGCAGACTCGAGCGGTACTGCCAGCGGTGTCAACAGTTCCCTCTCTGAGCTCTGATAACCAGGAGGCTGCAGGGACCAGCCCGGTTCTGAGGATCGTCATCGATAACCTGTTCTACCCTGTAACTCTGGATGTTCTACAACAGGTAGACCCTCCCAGCGGTAGCATCTCACTGTCTGTTACATCTCTTTCTCAATTACGTCTTTCTGTCGGAAGATTTTCTCCAAGTTTGGCACCGTCATGAAGATAATCACATTCACCAAGAACAACCAGTTTCAGGCCCTCCTGCAGTACAGCGAGCCTGCTCATGCACAACAGGCCAAACAGGTGAGAGGCTGCTTCCATCCATCTCCTCCTCATCTCTTTCTCCTGATGGGTCTGTGTGAGGACTGTTGGTCTTCCTCTCTCCGCTAGGCACTTGATTGTCAAAACATCTATAACTCGTGTTGCACACTGCATATCGACTTTTCCAAGCTAGTCAACCTAAATGTGAAGTACAACAATGATAAGAGTCGGGACTACACCCGACCGGAGCTACCGACTGGTGATGGCCAGCACAGCCTGGACTCCGCCGTGGCTGCAGCCCTCAGAAAAGACAGCTCTCTCCTTGGTAAGATCCCAGGTACATGATATGTTTTCATTTTCCTTCTTTCTACTCTTCTTTTACACGAGCTTTACCTTGTTTCCTGGTGGAGTGTAGCTGCTGTAAGTCTAAAGTTCGTAGTTTGACACCTTGCTCTGTGCTGTGCTGTGTTTGAGAGGAAGTGCTGCTCTCCAGTCCATGATTTTAGCCTCCTCCAGGCCTCGTGATTTTTATCTTGAGAGGCGCTGTAGAAATTATATTTTCTCCTTCTCCTTCTTCTCCTTCATTGTCCTGTCTACATCCTGTCAGGAGCCCTGAACCCTCTGAGTGCTGCAGCAGTTGTGGCTGCGGGGAAGGTGGCCCTCGCCGGACAGCCAGGAGTCCTGTTAGTGAGCAACCTGAATGAGGAGGTTAGTGACACAGTTCACACAGTCTTCCTAGAATCAGCTCCGTTTGATTGTGGTACCATTTCTGTGTTACTGTTTTGTGTCTGCCTGTCAGGAAATACGTGTTCCAATATTTAAATCAGTCTGTGGATTAAATCTATTAAACAAAACCACTAAACTGTAGCATTTCACTTAAACTGTACACGAGTGGAGGAGGAGCTTGGCTGACACGTGATTTAATCTTCTGTCCTCTAAACCCAGAGAGGTGCGTTTGGTTTTAATAGTAGCAGTAGAACGGATAATCACACACACACATGAAACCATGCACACACAGATTTGACGGTTCTAAATAATACTAGTTGACTTTATTGCTGTTAAAGGTGAGCATGACGGTCACAGGTCTGACATGTGGGAGATTTAGGATCTTTAGGTATAACTGACCATTCTATTACACTGGGGGTTATTGTCACTTGTACTGGATTCTCCTGGTTCTCATAACTACAAAAATTACTATCTGTCTCCACAAAGGTCTGGGTGTATTTGCTGAACATGATAAAAGTAATTAGGAGGTCTAATGAAGGCTTTACTGCTTGTAGCACCAGTAACTAGTCCTTTTCTGTTTTTCTTTCATTTTATTTTTATTTAGTTATTTTTGTGAATGAACTTATTTTTCTTTTGTCTGAGCTCCTGCACAAGGAGGCAGTGTTTACCGCTCACCGGGGCCTTCCCCTCTTCCATCTGCTGTTCTGCCTTTCCTCTCGTGTCCAACTGAAACTAACTCAACGACCTGTCTCTCTCCTGTTTCTTTCTGAGAGCCTCTCACCTCTCCCCCGCTCTTATGGCCCTTCATAGGAAGTCACTCTGTTGTGTCCTAATGTGCACCTCTGTCCTGGAAACGAGCATCTGTGTGAGACATTTGCTGGTTTCTCCACTTTCTTCCCCTCTAAAACATTAGTTTTATGTCGCCTGTCTGTTTCTTTCTGATCCCTGCCTGGAAGGTGTTGTGTCATACTGGAGCCTTCTGACAGCATCAGACTGGTCCTGATGTTGGGATTCTGTCCTGAAGCCAGTGGTTAGACCTTTGTGCAACTTGGGTGAAGACCATGTCGTGTGGTCTTCACATCAGCTCTGACATGTTTGCATGTTGCCTTACCACTCCACCCCCAGCTCGTGCCAATTTTTGGTTGTTTCTTTGTAGCTGAGAGATTGTTCAGACAGCTAAGCTTCTGCATGTTTTCTCCCATGGTTTGACTTTGTATAGGGAGCCTAAGTCTCCTCCCTTTCCGGTCGGCTCATGGGTCCCCGGAAGAACAAATACTGAATGCAAGCCAACGGGGCTAAAAAGGCTATTTTCTAATCCGCTTTGCCTTACGTCCTGGATCACACATATGTTGTACTGCAATGTGAATGAAAACTAATGATGGGTGTTTTGACCACGCCAGTCATGTACTTTGAAATTTATCAGCTTGTAAAAGTTAGTAATTAACATCACAACAAATCAGACGTTGGTATGTCACATTTATGACATCACCACAAAATCTCCTCTCCCCTAGCTTAGCTGCTACTTACCACACGGCCAGACTTATGGTGGGTTTTTTCCTCCTGAAGCAAGAAGTTAAAGTTTGCTGAACTTTTCCCCGTTGTTCTCTGTGTCTGGTTCGATGACGTCACTTTAGTGATGCACATTTGTAGTCCTGGACTTAAATTCACACAAAACCTAAAATGACGTGTGTACCCCCCCACCCTCGTTTCAAAATAAGCGCTTTCTTGGCTCCACAATGTGTCTTTAACATTCACGGACATCATATGTGAAATCCATGGCACAAAACAAGCGGAATTAGAGAATATCGTTTTTAGCCCCGTTGACTTGCATTCATTTCTTCGTTCCTTCGGGGACCCGTGGTCCGGAAGTAGGTGGGCGTGACTTAGACTCCCTATGATGTGGTTATGATTTTGATTTTGTGCCTCTACTCCATGCTTGTCCAGGTTGAAAGATCTGTTGGCAGCATTTGCAGGATTTCAAATAAGAAAACCTTGAGCAGCCATTGCTTCTGACCAGCTACCTGCATTATTATTCAGTGTACTGACCTATATTTTTTGTCCCTCCCCCTTCCTCAATTTTGATTATTTTTCATTTTACCCAATTTGCATCCCTCCTCCACCCCCACCCCCTTTTCTCCATGTATCTGATCTCCCCCTCTATGCTAATTGGGGGAGGTGGGCTCAAACCTTTAACCTTACATCACCCCTTCTTCCTACATTACCCAACTTCCTTCACCTCACCCCAACCATGACCCACCACTTCCATCTCTCTCTCCTGGGGAAAACAAACCACCATTCCGTCCGCCTACCTCCGCTCTGGATCGATCTGTCCATCTCTACCTCCGCTCCGACTCCTCTACCTCTCTACCTGTCTCACGCTGCTTGTTTCTCTTCTCTCCCTGTAAAGATGGTTACGCCTCAAAGTCTGTTTACCTTCTTCGGTATGTTATCTTTAGCTCTCTCTCTCTCACTCTCTCTCTCTTTTACTGTTCTTCCATTGATGTTCTGTTAATATTCAATCTATTATTATCATTATTTTTACAAGGTTTTGTTTACATACTGTATCTTGCTTAGAGTTTGTGTTCACTATTATTTCCTTAAGTTCACATCTTAGTCATATGTTCTTGCAAAGTTAAAACTTTATTTTGCATGTTGTTTTTCTTTCAGTCATCTTACACACTCTGATTACTGTTTAGCAGGGTCAGGTGTCTGTTTAAAGGAGGGCTCTTCTGTTTTTTTCTTTTTCTGTCTACAATCTTCGAATCCTTGTGTGTAAATCTGTTGTTCTCTTCTGTTTCTTGTCTGAAAGAAATGATTTGAGTGTGTGAACTGAAGATATTCTAACCGTCTGCTTTCTCTCCGCCTCACATCTTCGTCTCGTCCCTCCCTGGCTCTGGCTCTTACGCAGGAGTGTATGGTGATGTTCAGAGGGTAAAAATCCTTTACAATAAAAAGGACAGCGCTCTCGTTCAGATGTCTGATTGTAATCAGGCCCAACTAGGTGAGTGGCTCCCCAACCAGCTTAAGCATACATGTAACTTGACAGGAGAGGTCAGGAGGTCTAGGAGGTTACCTAACCCTAACCCAAACAACCCATGTCATTTTGCCCATGTTGGTCTGTTCAGTTTATTAAGAAATGAAAAGATTTGTGAAGGTTGGGGATGTGAGTCAGGCCAGCATCGTGATCCTGGCTGCTGATTGGCTAGGGGGGCGGAGTCACTGGTTCCTCCGGAGTGTTTTGCCCTCTGTTTCCTTTTTTCAGAGTCTGACAAAAAGCCGTAAAACTGAGTAAAATATCCAGCAACACCAACATTTTTCAGCTGGGTTGTGCTTCTGTGGAGCAAACAAGTTACCGTAACTGTTTACTGATCACCTCATGTTGTTTTGTCATGAGTAAAAATCTTGCACCCTTATTCTCAGATGTTCTCTGCACACCTTTATTCTGTGATGTAATTTGAATCTGCCCTTTAGCTGTTCTTCTGTCCCTCCCCTGATAAGGGCAGAACACACTTCATGCTCCTCTCCTTTGTTTGTCTCTTACTAAAAGGTGATCAGAAGTAGGGAGAGTGAATGATCCAAAGAAGCTTATTAATCAATTACAGGAATGTTTTAAGGTTAGGCTGACTGAGTTATTAGGTCAGGTTAATGAAATAATAGTGATGGGTTGCCTACCAACAGTTTTACACCAAATTATCTGTTCCTTCAAACACTGAGGTGATGCTGGCTCAGCGTTGCGGCAAATTGGCGGCATTGTTTTCTAAAAGAGGCTAGTGTGGCAAAAGATGGATGAACAGATTGATTTTTGTTTTGCGTGTGTTTAATGATCGCCCTAAGGCTATAATGTTGCGCCTTCGGGGGGCCCTATGGGGGTTACTTCTGGAGTTTAGAGTACCAGGGGTCTCATTTATCAAACATTGCGTAGAATCCTTACTAAAACCGTACTTAAGCTCTGTAAAAAAAATGTACTTACGCCAAGTAGGTTTGCGATCTATCAAACATGTAGTACGCACAGCTGCACGCGATCTCCGCTTCATAAATCAGAAACTATCTAGAAAGGTTCTCCGCTGCATTTTAGTCTCATCACACCCTCACCATGCCCACCTACTGCCATAAATAGTCAATGCAAAGTACCTTGTGGATCTCATGCATATACATAAGCCGGCTTGTTGCAGCGCTCCGCCATTGGTGGCCGTAGATCAAGGCAGAGCAAGGAAGTGCAATTTCACAGAAGCAGAAATTGAGGTACTTGTGGGTGAGGTGGAGAAATGAAAGGAAGTGCTTTTGCTAAACAAATAAGAGAAATTCCACGGAGTGGCACAGCGTTGTTGAAGCCGTCAACGTTGTGAATTCTTCAGAGAGATCTGTGGCGGATATAAAAAAAAATGGTCCAATCGGGATTCGATCCCCAGACTCCCGGGTTAAAGTCACGCGCGCCAACCAGTCAGCCAAATGGAGATCTCCCTTGTCCAAGTAGCCAGGGCGCATGATCAATCGGGTCACAGTGACAGGACACACACCGTCACAGACACATGACATTCCGTCTCAATCTGTCCCCCTGCTGATATTCTGCATTCCGTATTCTGCGCTTCAGGCTGTGTGTGTGTGTGTGTGTGTGTGTGTGTGTGTGCGTGTGTGTGTGTGTGTGTGCGTGTGGGGGGTCTTGTTCTGTGTGAAAACTAAGCAGTACAAGTGATAATGCTGCAGGATTTCATAATTTTATCCTTCTCAGCAGCAGCACTGCAGGTGCTCTCCATGTCCAAAATGTGTGTAAGCCAGGTCCTTAGTCAACTTAAAGTTGTGCACATTTTTCTGCAAATTTTTCTTTCATAAAACCCAAAGTTTGCGTAGAAAGTTGCTTACGCAGTTTTCCGACCCCGTTATGTGTGTAAGCAAGCTTGATAAATGAGGCCCCAGGCCCTTTAATACGGGCTGTTAGGTCAATATCGGTCCTTGTCAGACACGTGACCTTCATGTCACCCACACCCCCTTAGCACCATTTTAGGTGTATGACTCAAGTTGCTAGGGAAAGCCGCACCTGAAGTTGAGGCAGCACAAGAGGATGGATAAAAAGAACAACGAACACATCCCTTACAGGGCTAAACTTGGGAAGGAGGCTAGGATCTCTATTGTCTACAACTGACTACGTAGATCTCTACGACCTCAAAAGAAACAAATGGAGCTCAGACGTTTCATTACTGCCGGAAATGTAGCACTACTTCAACATATTTATTATCAAGTAAAAGTAAAAAGTTGCAGTCCTGAAAAATGTTTTTGATTAACATTTGGTGTGTATATTTAGTGACCAATGTTTCCATTGTTTATTCACCTAGCTATCCCATCATGCAATCTGCTACAGCACCCGATACGTCACCTGACAAAGACCGATATGATTGTGTCAGAGCTTGGTCCGCATTGCCGGCAGTAAGTTGGGCTCATTTCCATTGAGAGTTGGACTCCACCAAGGCTGCCCTTTGTCACCAATTCTGTTCATAACTTTAATGGACAGGATTTCTAGGCACAGCTAAGGTGTTGAAGGGATCTGTTTTGTTGCCCTGAGGATCCTGTGTCTGCTTTTTGCAGAGCATGTAGTCCTGCTTGGCTGCATCAGACAGTGATCTCCAGCTTTCGCTGGAGTGGTTAGCAGCTGAGTGTGAAGCAGCTAGGGTGAGAATCAGCTCCTGTAAATCTGAGACCATGGTTTTGAATACCTTGTTCAGGTCCGACAATGTCCTGCCTCAAGTGGAGGAGCTAAAGTATCTTGGGATCGTGTTCACGAGTGAGGGAAAGCTGGAGCACAAGATCGATAGGCAGATTGGTGCTGCTTCTGCAGTGATGTGGGCATTGTACTGGTTTGTTGTGGTAGAAAGAGAGCTGAGCCAGGAGGTGAAGCTCTTGATTTACTGGTTGATCTATGTTCCTACCCTAACCTATGGTCACAAGCTTTGGGTAGAGAACAAAAGAATGAGATCACAGATATGTAGCGTTAAGGATTGGCTACATATGTATTAAATGATCAATATGATGTGATAATTCCATATAAATGTGAAATATCAATATTTATTTCTATTTTCCTAAACTAATAATTATACATGACAAGACAGGAAGGAAAGTGTCAGGGCTGGTATGAAGAACTGGACCCAAATGCAGAGTTCAGCAAAACAAGGCTTTTATTTAAGGCATATTTAACTAAGGATCAAAAAATGATCCAAAAAAACAGAACTGAGTCAAAGGACCCAGAGATCGGTAGCTTAATGCCTGGCTGGAACGAGAGAAAACTAACGAACTGGCAACTGAAAGAGAACAGAAGCTGGTTAAATACACACAAGAACAGCTGGGAGAAATCAGAGTGATGAGGATCAGGAAACAGAACTGAAACAGGAGAGGTGACACCAAATTAAAACAGGAAGTGGGATGGATGAACAGGTCTCACAGCAGGGCATGGATGGAATGTATTGGATGAAATGATTGAATGGAAGCTACATGTTTTAACAAAACCTTTCTTAAGTATCAGAGTTTGTGGCGTCTGGGTTGTAAAATCAATTTGGCTGTATGTTTGTAAACTAGAGATCTGTTTATCAAACCATCTGACGCAATTTGTGCCGAATCTACGCACCCTTGTGTGGAGATCCTCGTGCGAGCCAGGGGGTCAGGAGGTCGGGATGGGCACTGCCGGTGGAGTGAACCTCTCGGTATCAGGAACCCGTAGATTAGCTACATTACGACCATCTAGTCTGAGATCCAGGTGACAACTGGAAGCTGGAATGCTTGTTTGCGTCGAAGGCTGCTCGGTGCCTCTTAAAAGAGACGTGTATGTAATTACAAGCGTTGCAGAGAGGCTTTTGACCTGAAGTCAAAAGGAGGATGGTCTCACAGAGCTTGTTCACTAGTTTGGACAGACCGAGTCAGCTAGAAACTGAATTAGATCCGGAAACAATTCTGTTTTATCACCTTCCTTATTTATAAACTTGTACAAATCAGAATTTGACACGTTTGAAGGCGTTATCAAAATACATCAGAATGTCGCTCCTTCCCTCAGCTACAAAGAGATGTTAACCCTTTGTGAAATGTTTTTAACAGCTATGTGAAGCAAAATGTTTGACATCAATAATAATCTTATTATAATGTGTATGAGTATACTGATGGATTAACTTGTTTAATCAACACATACTGATCTGGTGTAGTTTAAGATCTGAAATTAGTCATTACAGGAAAAATATGGATTTTAACACATCCTTGATTAAATGAACAGATTATTCAAATATTTTAGGATTCAAACATTTTGTTCTTTCAATATATTTGATTATTTCAAATTATAAGTTGTAAAGTAATTTATGAACTTTATTCAAAGTAAAAACTGCTGCATGAGACCTTGGCTGAAGATGTTATGTCTTCTTTGTACGGTAACAGGATCTAGTGCGGAGCTTTCTGGTTTGGAGACCAGACAGATGGTGTGTTTGTGTCTGCAAATTAAAAGTAACTTTCTAGTCAAGTTTTAGATGAAAACTTGACCTTTGATCCGCTACAGATACAAGCAGCCAAAATGAGTTTTCTCCGCAGGGTGTCTGGGCTCTCCCTTAGAGATAGGGTGAGATGCTCTGCCATCCAGAAGGGGCTTGGAGTAGACCCACTGCTCCTCTAAATCGAGAGGAGGCAGTTAAGGTGGCTCAGCAATTTGGTTAGGATGCCTCCTGGATGCCTCTGGTGAGGTTTCCAGGCATGTCTAACTGGGAGGAGATCCAAAGGAAGACTAAGGAAACACTGGAGGGACTATGCCTCTTGGCTGGCCAGGGAACATCTTGAGATTCCCCCAGAGGAGCTGGCCCAAGTGGCTGGGGAGAGGGAAATCCAGGCCTCTCGGTCAAGGCTGCTGTCCTGATTCTGGATAAGTGGCCGATAATGGATGGATGTGTTTAACTCGTATAGTCTTTACACTGCTGACTTATGAACTTGACATTTCATTACATTTCCTACAATATACGAAAGCTTTGAAAAGAGTTTGGTAATGGTTGACTGCTAAAACATTATAAAACACAATATAACTGTATCGGTGTGATTCTCTGTTCTTTGAAGTATTTAGTGAATGAAGCAGGGTCAGGGTTTAAAAAATCCAGTCTGATTCAGTTTCATGATCCAATGCTTTTGTTTAAATGTGTTCTATCCAAAGCAATGAGCCACTTGAATGGGCAAAAGATGTATGGTAATGTGATCCGAGTGACGTTGTCAAAGCATCAGACAGTGGCTCTGCCCCGGGATGGTCTGGATGTACAAGGGTTAACCAAGGACTATGCCAACTCCCCACTTCATCGCTTCAAAAAACCTGGATCCAAGAACTTCCAGAACATCTTCCCACCTTCTGCCACTCTTCATCTGTCAAACATCCCGTAAGTATCAGGCCATCATTTTAGAGTTTGAGCCCTTGGCAAAAATAGGATATTAACAAGTAAAAGTCCTTAATTGTGTGGAACATTTCCAACTATCTGGTCATGGTTAAACTTCTGATTACCTATTCATTTGTCAGAGGCTTTATCCTAAGTGACTTGCAAGTTTTTGGTCCATGGGAGAGAACCTGTTAAAAAAAAAAAACATGCATGGTAAATGGTCTGTGTTTGGTTTAGGACCTCCACCCCCGAGGTGCTTTACAACGCAATCAGTCATTCACACACTAGTGGTGATGAGCTGCATTGCAGCCACAGCTTGCCACTGACAGAGGTGAGGCTGCCTTACACTGGCACCACCAGTCCTTCTGACCACCACCAGCAGGCAAAGTGGGTTTAGTTAAGTGTTAAGTGGGTTAAGTGTCTTGACCAAGGACACACCGACAGACTGAGTGGGGATCGAACCTGCAACCTTCAAATTTCAGGGCAGACACTTGACTCCTCTGCCACCTTCACCCCACAATGTCTGCGTGGGTTCCTCTTGGTGAAGGAGTTTGTCAATCGAGGCAGGCTGGTGAGGATGCCGTGGTTGACATTCTGGTTAACTTTACGGAAGTGGAGGCATGTGGTGAACCAGATAGTGGCTGCGAGTGTGGATGTTGCACCTGCGTTTTAAAAGTTCAGCAGCTGAGTACTGCAGGAGAGCCCCTGCTTGCAGTTAAATGAGGGATAAAAGGAGCCAGCCAACTGCCAACCAACACATTGTTTGGAAAATCCACATTGTATCTCAGGTGAGGAAACAAAGGGTGTGCCACAAACAAACAGTTTCTGATCAAAGATGCCAGCGTATGTATCAAGTGTCAACAAACAAATATCCAGTGCTGCATAAGCAGAATAAAGCAGTGTAAAAGAGATTAAACTAAATTTTTTGCCTGAGAACAGCAGCGACAGATGCGCTAGCATTCACTCAACCAAAAATCCTAGTAATGGATAATACCTCAAATTTTACTTATTTTTTTTATTCATGAATTTTAAAATGTATGTATTGTACTGACTCAAGCCTAAATATAACTGACCTCTGACCCAGTGATAGTCCTTTGGGGTCAGATTACTCCTAAATCCTCTCTACTCTTTGTGTCTTCATTTCTTATCAGGCAGAATGTGACAGAAGATGACCTGCAGCTGCTCTTTACCAACACAGGGGGAACCGTCAAAGCATTCAAGTTTTTCCAGTACGTAGACTTACCTGGGACAAAAAGGCTTATATTGAACTTAATCTTATCATTTTCTGATTGAATATCAGACGGAAGTCACCAGCCAACTGACACATCCAGACTGTGTTTCTGTGTTTTTTATATTGTTGGATGATAGATTCATAGACGTTTTAGCTAGCTTAGAAGCTGTTGCATAATCAGGTATTAAAGTACACTCGGTATTTTTATACAAACAACTTGATTTTGACACTTCTTTGTAAATTGTTGCTCATGGGCAGAGAGAGCCTGAGTGTTTGCTTTAGACGAGCCAGCTACAGCTGTAGCATCTACCATACTATACCATACCATTCAATACCATACCATACCATACCATTCAACACAAAACAATACCATACAATACCATATCATACCATACCATACATACCAGTCAGAATGAAACAATACAATACCATTCAATACATTACGATACCATACCATGCCATACCATTCAGTACAAAATAATA